ATCAATCGATGAGGTTATGAATCTTCATCGACTGAGATGGTTGGGCCACGTGTTACGTATGCCTGAACTCCGATTACCACGATGCTCAATACTGACTTGTGTTAGCGATGGTTGGAAGAAAGTTAGGGTCGGCCAAACCAAAACGTGACATCAGTGCTTGAAGTCACTAACTTCCAGTCTGAGCCATATTGGTAGATGAAGACTACTGTATTGGGCTCCGCATGACTACCATAACCAATGGTTGGAGACTCTGGGTGACATGGCTCATAATCTATCACAATGGCGTAGGTGTATACACTGTTTGTCTTCCCGTAAACTGAGATTGAATTTGCTTCATATCTTTCTTTCTACGAACTAATTCTTTCTTCCTTACATGCAATCTTTCTTTTATATATTAGCACCATTGAATTGACCAATTCTATGAATCCGGTGTTCATCTTGATGTGGTAGTGAGATATGGCAACCTGGACCGATGCACAAATGTGCCTGGTCCTACATTGTAGCTGACTGACCGATTTTGGTAAGTTAGAAGCAACGTGGAATGCGGGAACATATGCAAGCTTTGGTCCACGTTACCACACTATATGACTACAACGAGATGAAGTAGTACAAGTAATAATAGTATCAGTAATACCAGAAACAACTAGACATAGACAGTATGATGAGTTAGGAAGAAAGGGTGAGTTGGTAAGATAAAAAGTGATAGATAATGTTAAAACTAAGATTTAAGGGAGTGAATGCGTCTGTGCCATCGTGAATGATTCTGAGTCATTTCACCTGACACCGCCAATTACTGGTTACGATAACTACGAAGAAACCAATCTGCTAGACTGTACATACCAAGGCATACCTAATACATGTCTCAATAGATTAAAATCATTATAGAATAGAGCAAAAGTAGATGTAACAGGGTTCAAACATGTAGCCGATTGGTTGAAAATCGTGTTTTCTATACTAATAAGCCAACAAAATTACGGTAATGTCTAGACTTTTTGACATTATACACTTTAACGAAGGATTTTCGATAATAAATCTACACACATAAAACTGTTACATAATTTGAGAAGTTTGTCTGAAATGTTCGAGTGTCAAATAACAAACACTTGGACAGAAGACAACAAGTGGGACGAAAATTAAATTTTAAGAAGTGATAGATGCTGAGTTCACAAGCGCTAATGAATGCATCCTAAACTGTGAAACATAAATACTCGTCAAGGAGGAGGCACTATATATATATATATATATATATATATATATATATATATATATATATATATATATATATATATATATATATGAGCCACACTCCACCATTCGATTTGTCTAAGAGCTGCAATATTACCCGGTCACCCAAATCGCAGCAGATCGTCTTCTTAGGGGGCCACACCCCGAGCCTTTGACCTAGAGGTCTGGTCCACAAGGCAGTGGCGCAAAGTTACGAGATGCAGTTCCATGATAGCCGGTGACCAGCAAGAGGTTCATACGCTATTCGTCCCTTTAGGATCCTGGAACCCATGTTCACCACTGGTTTGGAACCAGAGTTTTCCAAGCCCCCTCCCCAGGGTGGACCCGCTAAATAACTATGGCGGCTTGGATCCTATACTTGTTAAATGAGTTACGTTAAACTACAATTTATTTCTGTTAGTACGACAGGTCCAGATCGGGCTTAAATCAGAATGCGTTCATTAATCTATTTTCAATCAAACAGTATAGACGGATTGTCATGATGCTAGGAAATTTCCATGTAAATTCTATATAAACTCTAATAAATTTTAACTACTTTATCTTCATAAAAATTAAGTACAGGGGCCCAGGAATACTTGACAGTAAAATAATAAAATAGTTTTAAATGACCATATCCTAAATCGAATGATCGAATATTAACATACAGGAATGAAGAAAGCTCATATGTTTTACCGATATGCATATCACTCCAAAATACTATGTTGTCGATAGTCAGTCAGTCAGCTACAACGTTGTCGATAAGTTAGATTTACATACATGGAAATAATAATTCATAGAAGTAATTAAAATTATAGGTGAACAAAAGATTCAGCATACCCGTTGAATCATTTTCTCTATACGTCCTTGCATTCCCCACATTTTGAATTCACATGAAACAAGTTTGTATGCACACATAATCGGTCCTTTGTAACCATTCTGTAAATGAAGAGTAGAATAGAGACATCTAGACAGAATTTGACAGGTCATTAAATGAAAAAACAAACCGATTGGTTTCTATTTGAGTAAACTAATGTTATACAATAAAATGATGATTAGCTTCATATTTTCTAGCCAGCCAGAAATTCGATAGCACTGTATACTTTATCCAAAATACTATTTGATAATTAAGTTAGTTAAAAATTAAGAATTTAGGTAACTCAATCAAACCTTATAGCTGTTGAAGAACATTCAGAAAAAAAAATCACATGACCCCACTATATTATTCATTAGTAGTTAGTACAAGGCAATCCTAACATCACACAGTGGCATGATAGTTGGTGATGTTTAAGCTTTCGGTGATAAATAGAGAATAGTCCTAAATATTAACTAGTGTACAATATCCTTAATGTGTAATTCTCCTCACTTTTGATACTATTAGCCAATTATTTGTTATATTAAGATACATTAATATTGGTACAAACAAGAACCGAAATAAATATGCGATAGAGAATAAGAACGTGAGACTGCAGAGTCACAAAGAAATATGACGATAAAAAAAAACAACAAATTGGTAAATATGAATGAATAAGAGCAGTGAATAATGGGATAAGCAGGTTAGGTATAAAAAATGCAATTAGAAACATTTCTTTTTTTCACTTTTAAAAGAAAGTCAACAAAAATCACAACAGGATGACCAATGGTTTATGCTTTGAGCCATGTCTGGTAACATGTTAAGCCAGTGAGTTATGCTATCTGTTTGACATCAAATAGAGACCGACAAATGCCGGCTCTATACAACTTTGTTTCATAGCTCGGGTCTATGTTATAAACTAAACACTTCTCTCTTTCAACCAGTATCAGCGTCGGCAATAAAATGCAAGATATGGAAGTTGCATGAATGATATTTATAAAACATGCTCAAGCAAATGAATTCGGCCTTTAAAGATGGTGACACTAATTGAATTATTGTCATTGTTTGAGGACACAGTCACTAATCTCAGCATGAATAGCAATGTGATCATTTCGTTTGAGAGTGATGGAATACTCTGAAATTTAGCTCAAGTTTTCATACCATATCGGTGTAGCCAGATGAAACTGACAAGATGGATAGTTGAAGTAATAGTAGTATCGGTGATAATGAGAAAGATCAAAACATCGTAGAATATAGTTTAAGATGAAAGAAATAATAGGAAGTACAAAATAATGTTGAGACCTATGACTTAGGAGAAAATAAGAAGGGAGTGGATCTGCACCACTGTGACCGATTCTGATTTATCTCATCGAAAGTCTCCAACCAATGATCGGGGTCACTTGAAAACAAGTTACGTCAACATTCAACACTGGATAAGAAACTCAACAGAAGATCGAGGAGATACGACATATATCGATGATATCGCTTTATAACGTCCTAGTCAAGGCTATCTGTTATTTGATTTGCATCAAACTATGCATTCTATAATCCTAAGAAACCTATCGTAATACAACTCAAAGAAAGTTATACATATGTGTAAAGACAAACAGGTTATTAACTTAAAGTAGAGCTGTAACTAATTGATTTAAGCATACGATTACCACTTTTTGAAAAGTAGTTCAAGTCACCTAATTTATGACAAAAGTTTATTTAGGAAGGAAATATACCACCGTTATCATGTCCATCCAGGGTAAAAATATATAAGTGAGTAATAATAATAATAATAATAATAATAATAATAATAATAATAATAATAATAATAGTGAGAACTTGATACATATTGAAATATACAAATGTGTATGACCTCGTTTTTTTTCATATTTTGACCTATTAAGGTTGAAACACAACAGGATTTGACAATAAGAGGGAGAAAACAATATAAATGAATAAAAATGAACATATTGAAATGATAGTAATTAATGATAACAACCATTATTGTTATAGTAGAATGGATAGTTCAAAGATAAGTAACTATACAATAATAAATAAAGATTAGCTTTAAAAAGAACAATTGAAAAAGTTTAATTTATTTTTAAAAGTATGTTTAGAAAACAATATTCATATGAAACATTACCATAAGTGGATATTTTGTAGTAAGTGAAAAAAAGTTATTGGTAAAATCTATGACGATAAATGGTATGCCAGTCAATTAGTCGGTCTTGAGTTCTGTTAGAAGTACGAGGGCGGTTATCACTTCCCGGTTGCCCACATCATGGAAGGGTTCTTCTAAAGGTTCCTGAAAAGGAAATTGGGTTGTGAGTGGTCTTAGTGACCTGAGAGCGTGATCGCAGTGCCCAAGGGACAACAGCTTGAGGTCAGTCACAAGCGACCTATTTATGAGCAATCTTCGTGTTAGCTCCGTATTTGTTGGGACCTTAACGCCGGAAACAGATATCCATGGGATAAGGTGAGGTGTGCAATTTAGGGTCAATGTTTTATAGCCCCATCCCTCCTCGTAGGAAGGCAGCATCGCTGTTAAGCTGGTTGTCTGAAGGAAACACCTTACTGCTGTCACACCTCTGTACAGTCAGCAGTACGACTTCGCCTTCAGACCTTGGGTTTGCTGCTTTTTGTTTTACCGTTCTTCAACCGACCTGTCTGGCATGGTAGAACCTTGAGGAACGAATGTTCCGGCCAGTATATCTCGATTGATTCATCACGAGAGGCAAGCGCGACCACTACGTCAAGGTAGCAACAACGGTCGGGATAAATGGTATAGTATTATTGACATACCAGGAAATATCAAGGTAGAGTTTGACAAAGTTTTCATATCACATTGTCGCGATGAGAAGAATATGATCCGATGGATTGTGTAAAAGAGATGGAAATAATTTATTAGTAATCAAAATGCTTCGGTATGGGCACCCGGACAGTATCACAGCCTACACCTATATCAAGTGACTTGTGTGGCGCACATGTATTTGATGCTCCTTTGTACTAATATTCATGTGTTCAAATAAATAAATAAAATAAGAATAACTGAACACTAGAGAATATAGCTTGAAACAATAGAGTGGAAAGGTATATATGAAGGGACAGTATAACATAAGATCTAAAAGATGAAAAATGATTCATAGTGATGCCACTCAAAGTTTCCAACCAATGATTTCGCTTAGTATGTGTACAACATAAACTTGGATGATTATTTTACAACAAACCAAATGATACCAAAAAGTAAGATAATAAGGTTTACTATAATTTATAATATTTTGGTTTCAAAGTAAGAACAATGAAACACATTAATACACAAATACAGACCTAAAAATGGAGCTGTTGGTTAATGTTTACAGCACTAGGTTTTTAATCAACAAGTCTCATATCTCAAACTCACCTTCAATTTGAGTAACTGGTTAGTATCGTTCTCCCTATCTAGCTACCAGACACATAAACTTAGCTAGTAGGCTTTGATTCCTATTATTTACAATTTTTATGCTATATTAATCTGATTGAAATAAAGCAATTCACAAATGATTACTATCCTAGATGAATTAACTTGACTAACTTGATCTACACCACCAAGGAAAAACAACGCCCTGTTTTGATTTTAATAGCAAGTGGAACCTTCAACTAAAGTTTGACCGGACATTATGCGACCATAATTTTTCCAGTAAATATTTTTTCAGATGGATGCTGATGAAGTAAAACAAATTGTAAGATAAACTAAAAATAGTTACAAAATTCATCTCATCAGCTATAATACAGCGCAGTAGTTTAGTGATTAAAGTACCTACCCGTTAATTACTAAATATAAAGCAACTAATCTTATTAGTAAGTTTCGATAGAACAACTACATATCCTCATTGTTCTGTCAAAACTGACCGATAAGTCGGGGATCTGAACTTAGCTTTAGCTGTTAGGTAATGGTATCACCAGCACTTACACAACAAATGTAGCCCGAATCAGATCACATGAACCTATGTGCTAGGTTACTAAGTTAACAAATAGTATTGTATCAACTACAAATTGGTTGTAAAATGAATGTCGTTATGGAAGGAGATATGATTAAATAACTTGCAACAATACAAGATAACTGGTAATCTTAGCATCGTCTCTCCACGTCTTTACAGAATGAAATAGTCAGAAATTTCACGTAGATATAACAACTGAGACTCAACAAATCATCACAGCCTGTGCATTACATAAACGTAATCAACGTAGAACGTGGTCAGAAAAAATAAAAGCGGATAATGTAGAACACTGAGTTTTTGAACAGTCACAGTTACATATGTATACACATATGTACACAGTAACAGAAAGATTCTACAGATAAATTACCTCCCACCATTTCGGCTTTAAGGGCCCACGACCAGTTTTTTCAGAGCGAAAAGTTGTAGGATCTTCATTAGGGTTATAATCTTTGTCTGCCTGAGAAATATCACCAATATCTATGTAGATCACTTCAACTTCCGCCCATTTTTCCGGACTTAACTGATGAGCCTAATAACCGAAAAGATACATGGAAATTAATGTATCCAATACGTCACCATGATACTAAAAATATTGCAAAAATAATTTGTGAGAAATTTTAACTTTGGTTATCAAAAATAATGCTAGCTCCAATCATTATGAATAACACAATTAAAAGCATTAGTGTCACATAATGAATTGAAGTGATGATTGACGAGTTAACAATAATAATAATGCAAGATCTGATAGTTTCACTGAACTCTAAGAGTATTTAAACAACAAATATCTTCGGTGAGATTATAGTTTGTGGACAACCTTTGAGCGATGCCAAAGTGGCCTTGAAAACGTCTACCTACATACTAGGGCCAAATCAAGGTTATAAACGGATGTGAGGAATTAGAATTATGACTTAAAGTTGATGGTTAGGGTTAGGAATTAGATTTAGGGTTTTCATCACGAACTGACATCAACTAAAATGCCAAAACGCTATTTAGCCAAACAGATGAAGAATTTTGCGCCGAAATCCAAGATCTCATTGGTTCGTTCATAAATTATAGTCGTGCCACGTCTTCCGGTTGAGAAATGTGGTAAGTGAACTTAGTGGAAATTTGTTTAAAGTTTATGCTGATATATTTACTTGTCTGAATTCCCTATCTAGAGACATAAATTTACTATATACGAGCTTCATAATGTTATTACAGATACACAGAACATTCTTGAATTAAACACAAATCATAGGAAAATAGAAGTTATAAAATATCGTTTTGGGTTGCACAACCCACTAAACAAAAACTGAAAAATACACACTGTAAACTTACATTTTCTATATTTACTAAGGAGTCCACGTGAAGAGATTCAATTGTTACACTAAACTTCTCCATCATATAATTATTCTGTGGATTTTATAGCATTTGAAGTAAACTACTCACTGTGATAACAGTTCGACAGTAGGGATAAGCATTCCACGCATACTCGTTGAAAACGAATGCACTTTCAGGGGCGATAACACGAACAAACCCTGGTACCTTGTGCGCAAGGTGGTAGTATTTATGGGTGTATTGCCCAGTGGTGAACCTTGGGTCACCTTTTAATAAAGGGCGATCAGGCTTATACGTTGTTTGATCGAACGGCTCGTTGACCAATATTTGCACCCCATCACCACCACCTGTCTCTCCTTTGGAAGCTTCAGCAACGGAATAAAGTTGACCAACTTGATATTCTTCAACTGTCATAGGTAAAATTACACGACTATTATAAGAGTAAATAATGTGCGATTATCAAAAATGTTATGCAACTAAAGAAATAACTAAAGAAAGAACTCACTACTCCTTAACAATCATCTTTGACGGACGAAAACTCGAATGAGCCGGCGTAGCGCACAGCTTTGAAGATGTTGAAAATCCTAAAGTTTAATATCTAAAATATATTTCCAATTGTTGCGACGAAATTCTCTGAATGGATCGCTTTTTTTGCACTTAATCGTTGCCGCTGTGGTACAGTTATAGGGCTTTAATATCAATTTGTCTAGTTATGTTAAAAATACACTAGTTCAAATCGTTCAAATGGTTGTGGACGGAATAGAAGAAGCTTCCGCTTAACAGGCTTCCGTGTCTAGTAGCAGGGGGTCACCAAATCCTCCAGGCAGGAACCTAGGTATGTTAACAAGAAAACAGGAAAAGAAATCGATAAATCATAGTGCGATACTATCCTTAGTCCTTAAGAATAGATCAAGTTGCCTCTTAAAGGACTCCTGGGAATTCGCTTGGACTAGATCAACCGGCAGCATATTCCAGCATTTGACAACTCTCGAGGAATAGAAGTTGTGTCTACATTCCGTTCTGCTATGTTGTGTCCATTTTTTGGGTGTTACCCCTTAGGTTAGTGTTGGAACTAAGCTTAAGTAGGTGTTTGAGAGGATGTCCAGAAGTGTTGAGGATACTATAAGACATCAGAAGGTCACCTCTAAGACCGCTATACTCTAATGGGTAAAGGTTAAGTGAATGGAGGCGCTCTTCATAAGATTTGAATTTGAGTCGTCGAAATGATTTCGTGGCTCGCCGTTGGATATGCTCCAGGGTGTCCTTATCCTTTTGGAGTGAGGGGGAAATACTATGTTTCCGTACTCTAAATGCGGACGGATAAAACTATTAAAGATTATATGGAAAGTTCTTCCGTCAAACTGGCCAAAAATGCGCTTCAGTGTTACCAGTGCAAGGTAAACTATTACATTTACGCTCACCACTATATCTGAGGAATTTTAGTGATTATACCATTTATTTACAATGTTTTATGTCAAAATTAAACTTCAATTCTAGCTTGCCGTCGGTGTTCGAACTTCCTTCAAACTAAGCTATGTGTAATATTGAAGAAAATCTATATCCTTCAATATTTCCATTAAGCTTCTGTGTGTCAAGTTTTCTCTTGAATTTGTCGGTTGACGCTACGCCACTCAGTAGTAGGCCCTGTGAATTGGTGACTCGATGGGTAAACCCATATACATTGCATATTTCGTTCATTTTTCAACTTTTCATGCACTCCTGTTTTGTCTCTAGATGGGTGGATATATACTCAACGTTGTCATAAAGCAGGCCAGAATAACGGCCTTGTTTTCACCCACGTAGTCAATGAATTTGTCATATAATGATATAATTGCTATTAAAAAACTAGAATGTTTTGTTAACTTCGCTATGGCTTTAAGTTTTATTTACCAAGTCACACTGCATTTCGTTGAACATGCATCACCTGATGGAATGATATGCTAAGTCATGGAAATTTTAGTAAAAGTCCTGGTTGTTTAAGAGGTAAACCGTCAGTCAATGCTGTTATTAAAAAAGGTTTTTTGTGCTGTAAACTGTGTTTTGACACACTATCGTTTTTCCTTTGTTATGTAAGTCTGATTGGCCTATAGTTTGTTTCTAGAGGTTTGTGGGCCTTATTATCTATAGTCAACTATTTTCCAACAAATGTCTGTTCAAATGAAAAAATTATGACACCTTTTTAATTTAGTGCATTTGGTTCAATTGATGTAATCATAGTGTTTCAATGAAGCGATGTAGGACATCAGTTTACCTATTCGGGTTGCCAAATATTTCATTTTCGTTAGTGTGTTTTATCGTCGAAACTAGAGAACAATGTGTGAGACTATGTATATATTACAGTGTACCTAGCTCCCAGAAGCTGAGGTTGAGAGCTAAGAAATTGTGCAGTAGATGAGATATCAGAAGGATATGATAATAATATATCATCTTTATTATATTTCCCCTCTTCTAAATACACCATTGATTGATTTCGTTTATAAATTAAACGTAAGAAAATAGTGATATAGACCTGCTGTAATAACTTAGTCTTTACCAAAAACGACAGAGAAACTATAGCAACTCCCATAACAGCGTGTTTTTAATGTGTATATTGATGCAAATCAGTTTGTTCACAAATAGAAAAAAACTAACTTCGGTGTTTCTGTTGTAGTACACTATTAAATAGTGTTCAATTAAAAAAAAACGTGGTAAGGATGTTGGGCATGCGTTTGTAGACTGTGTATTTGGCTCTGACCATATTTCGAGATCCTTGCTATTAAACACTTTCCGCAGCATTAACATTGACAGTTAGATGAACAAGTGGCTGTATTGTTACCTTCCTGGAAAGCAGCAGTGTACAGTTCTGGAAAAGAAGTGTTCTACGTCTTAATTTAGTACAGCTTTCTGTTGACAAACATTGAAAAATCTTGACTACTAGGAATTTTATTTTATCAAACACTATCTCTGTGTATCTTCCCGTAAAACGAGTGCGTTGGAATACATGAATCGAAGCAAAAGGACAAACGCTGTACACTGCAATATTGAGCACATACTATGCTTTGTACAGGTCGTAATCTTTGATCAATATTCATGAACGTGCTGGTAAATGACAATTTTTACATCGACTTATTCCATGTTTTTGACTAAAATCAATCCTATTCGTTTATTTAAATAGAACATTAGCGACTTTTGACGGATCTTCTTGCAAAGTATTTCATCGTCACAATTATGGTACCATGAAACTATTTACGGGATACCATACTAACGGCACTTTCTCCAAAGTTTCTAAAAAGCAGTATGGACGTTTGTTCAAGTCCCACAACCACTACCACTAATTATGAGTTACTTCTTCACACTTTAGTTTAAAAAATAACATGTACAACAATTTGACATCAATATGAATGTTGTTAATTGAAATCTGATGTAAATGTTCGTTTAATATCGATAATGCAATGAGAAGACGTAGTTTATCAGAATTATGTGATATATTCGTGCAATACATTTCGAACAATCTGATCACCCATATACTTGTTAAGAACATTTATATATGAAAATTAAAAGCTCAACTAGACAGGTTAAGGGTAAGTCATAACAAAGAAAAAATATTAAAGTATTAATAAAACAAATGTGATTACCGCTCTGGATAATAAATCAGTATTACCAGGGTAGTTCAGGTGTAAGGACAAATTGTTTTTGAGCACATAAAGAGTGTTTTAATTTCCGTATAGACAAGACTTCAATAAACCTTAGTATACGTCTTTGAAGACTTTTGTACAAGACTACAAATGTTGACTTGATGTCAACCTTATGATCAGTCTCAATCAAATGTTTCGCAATGGAGGAAGATGTCTGTCTATCCTGTGATCTTATTTAACCATTGGAATCCATTTGTTTCTGCAACCATTTTGGTGTGTGTTCACACGCTTTCGCTAATTATAAGTTACTTCTTTACAAGTAGTTTAAAGAAATAACATGTACAACAATTTGACATCAATATGAAAATTGTGAATGGAAGTCTGATGTAAATGTTTGTTTAATATTCCATTGACTATCAGATAATTACTGAATAAATCCGTAAATCTGGACAACGGTTTCGCCATTGTATACTCTATTTATTTATTATTATCCTTATTCAAAATTATATATTTGGCACAATATAGAATTCACAACACACAGTACTTCAGCGAGTTTCCGGTTTTTTTCCTGATTGATATGGACGATAAATATTGAGTGATCGGCAGTTAGATATTAGAATTTCAGAAGTTGACATCTGAATAATGTTCATTCGTTTCAATGCACATCGCCAGCCATCATTATATCTGCGATTGTACATCACTGGAACTTGTATAGCAAAATGACGTAAAATTTTCACAAACGAACCTGAATAGGTAATGAAACTAATGGGCATAATGATCTGTTAAGACAAGCAATGGTACAGATAACTTATTGGAATTTCTAGATGGCAGGATCAGTTGGCCCAGATATTTATGTAGGTCGCCTTGAGACCTGCAAACAATGTCTCTCGTAAACTGATGGAATACTGTTAACATGAGGACACTTTATACGGTACATCATACCGGTCTACAAACTCGCTTAGCTTCTTAGTGAGCATACGACTACAGTCGCGTTAAACACGTCACGACCTTCCTGACTGCCTTCATAGTAAATCGGTATGTATTTACTGAATGTGATAAAACGTTTTCATATTGAAAAGACATATAGCAGTTAAAAAACTACAGTAGTACGGCAATATACATCAGATGTACATGATGTGACTTGTCTTCATCGATTACCTGAAATACAGAATAGAAATAGCTTAGAAAATGCATTTAGTAGGATCTTAACGTTAATTTCGGAAGATTGAGCGAACTTACTATGTGAGGGATAGCTATGCTGCGACGACGAATTTTGTCGAAATCGAGTTTTACGAGTCGTACGAAACACTACAACCGCAAGGAGTTTATCCAGAAATAATATGAATAAGAAAGCTGAAATCTGTATGTTACAACATTTCAGCACTTAGTCGATATGATTCCATCTCCTCAGTCATGCGCCTGTAGTGACCTACTTCTATCAAGAGAACACAATTGGTGTAACGGAAACAGGTATTATTATTATTAGTTGTAACAGTGATTGTCATACCGCATTTACTTGTTTAACTGTACCAAAACAGATACATTCTCTCGTTGCTCGTGATCTTGCACGAACTTACGTTTGCTCAGTAGTTCTGTAAAAATATGGTTTACTATGATATTAGGACCTCTCTAATAATAGACCTAGTCCTAAAATTGTAGATTTGTCATGACATAACTGCCTAACCTATAAAATCTTACGTGGAAGTCATGCCAACGTCCACACGAACTCACTGTATCGTAACAATCGCCAATAAATGATGGAGTACAAGCTTAGGCTAGATAAAGAACAATATGTTTAAT